CCGCGGGTGAAGTTGAGTTGCGCTACGTGAAGACCACGGGGCAGCCGGCTGACATGATGACCAAGAGGCTGGTGGAGCAGCAGCATTGGAAGTGTTGCAAGCTGGCTGGGATGGCTCTGAACTGAGAGAGCAACATATCCTAAGGCCAACAATCCGAGGGGGAGTTTGTTGGTGCAACCCTACGGTTTGCACTCGGCTTGTTGTCCGTGTGCGTGAATGTGTGTGTGTATGGAATGGTATGAGGGCATGGGATAATATATATTTCATGCTTATAATTGTGTGTGAATGTTGAGTCATGATGTCGAGTGTGTGTGTCGAGTCAATAGCGAGTTATCGCTAGACGCGTGTTACGCGGTCGTTTGTGTCTCGCACGCGGTTTCTATTTTGTCGTGCGCAGTTTCTATTTTGTCCTGTGTCGAACGTTCGGCGTGTCGCAGGTGTGTGCAGCAGACCCATCAAGAACTCAAGGATGAGTTTGTGATGAAGAGCCCGAGCCTTGGTGTCAAGCCTCAAGTGATTTCGAAGCTCGCCAAAAAGGGTACACCTCAAGATATTGAAGATATTTACATTACTTTGTGTAGTGTAACATTTCACTTGGTGTAGGCCCTAGTGAAGGGTAGTTTCGAGACCCTTCGTGGTTGGGGACAGTGTGGCACTGTTCCACATCACTGTACCTCGGCTCTTGGGGTTTGTAGGAGCTGGGAGTCATTCCCAACTCGTAACTCTTCCTATCTTGTGTTCTAAGACTATAGTGGCTGCCATAGTACCGTTCGTTCAAACCGACGCTGTGTCGTCAATTCTTTATCAAATCGTGCAATCTAAATTGCTAATTGTAGATGACGTGAAGACGCTCCAGATCCAATTTGAATCAGGTCATTTGCAGCTGTGAGCAGAACGCTATCAACGTTTGAAGCCGCTGTGCAGAAATCCGTCTGTGCTCTCTATCTTTCGTTTTAGGCACATTCAAGCCTATTGTGACTATAACAAACGCACCACTGCCGACTCCGAGAATATTCTCTCTCTTGGCCCATGGGAACATCGTGACGACATCGATTACACCGATGATACCATTCCTCGTGATGGAGTTGTACCTACATCTTCGACCACGGCTGCCGCAGTCATGCTGACCTTCGACAACCAAGGTTTGAACGACGTCCAGAACTCTCGAGATTATCTTGCTGGTGGTTGGGGAGATACGACGAATATGCCCACGAGTGAAGGCACTTGGGGGGCACAGGAACCTGACGAGACCACTTGGGGAGAAACCCCGGCTGATCGTGATCGACGTCTTCTTACTGAAGCAGAGCAGCGTGTTGCTGACATGGAAGTCCTTGACTCCGGACGACTTGTCGGTGTTGAGCCTAAACCTGCAGCATCAGATCAAGAGAGTGGGGAGTTAATTCTTTCACCTGGCGAATCCATCAACGTCGAAATCAAAATACCTCCTCCTAACCTTACCAGGTTCATCCCGCCAGTCACCGATCATGTTCACGCTGACGGTCATCGGCTGTTGTTATCTTTCTTCGCTAACGCCGATTATTATCTGCGTGCACAGGGACACAAAGCAACCGCAGAGACCTGGCATAAGCGTCTTGGTCATCCGTCGCAATCTACGCTCAACAACACAATCAAAGCAGCTGTTCTCGACAAGAATTCTCTTCTCTTACCTGGCGGCATCGAAATGAAACCGGTTAATCGTCCATCACCCTGCTTGATCTGCCCAGCAGCAAATCTACCGCACGAACCGTACCCGACTCATTTTCCTGGAGCTGAGGATTATCGATTGATGGAAAAAGTTTACAGCGATATTCTAAACTTACCTGCGGAAGGTTTCAACGGCGAGAAATATGTTATCACGTTCACTGAAGCTTCTACTCGATATGTCTGGACTGGTAACATGACTAACCGTTTTCTTGCTTTCACAGCGTTTCAGACATGGCTTCCTCTCGCAGAACGCGAGTCTGACACAAAACTCAAAAGCTTCCAGTGTGACGGAGCTGGGGAATATCGCAGCCTCGATTTTACAACGTACCTGCAAGAACGAGGCATACGGCGCCTGTTCTCACTTCCTCACGCTCACCAGCAGAGCGGTGTCGCTGAACGTCTCAATCGTACCTTGCAAGAAAAGATGCGAGCACTACTCACACAGTCTCAACTCGGCCCACTCTACTGGCCCTTTGCGATGGACCACGCAACGCTGTTGCACAACCTCCTGTCTTCATCAGCTTTACCAAACAACGCATCACCTCACTTGTTATGGACAGGCAAATTGGGCACTACGAAACTTCTTCGAGTTTTTGGGTGTGTTGTGCAATATCGTCCTCCCACCGCTCCGCTCGGAAAGTTCGATCAGCGTGCTAAGTGGGGGCTGCATCTCGGCATTGAAAAACAATATCTTGCCTGGCGTATCATGGATTACCGCAGTCGTCTCCTTGTTCCTGCTCGCGACTGCATTTTCTACGAGAATCTGACACTGCCCGTCTTCGAACAGCATCTTGCCATGCAGCACAACCCTGCCACGCTTTTCCACGGTGTTCGCTCGTTCGCTAGCGCCGACGCCGAACTTGCTGCCAGCGAAGAACCTGACCCTGACGGTGCACGTGAAGCTGCTCCCGACCCACCTGTCCCTGTCACGTCTTCCGGAATTCCAGAGTTTATTCCTCTTGCTGACGCGGCACCTGAGGATGTTCGCGATGTTCATCATACTTACCTCGTGGATGAACAGCGCCAACCAATGCCGGTGGTTTCCGATAGCAGCATCCGTGTCAACCCTGACGAAATTGGGGGGGCAAGTGGAGACCAGAATGATTCTGTCAATTTCGCAGGTCGCACCGACGATAATCCGCATTATCAGACCGGACTGCAAATTCTGGGACTCGCAGCAGCGGTACAGCACAGTACTACAGTGAATCTGGAGCCGAAAACTGCCCGACAAGCTCTCTCAGGGCCTCATCGCGAAAAATGGCGTGAAGCGATGGATCGCGAACTGGCTGCCCTGGAAAAAAGGGGAACTTGGGATCTTATACCCATTGAAAAAACGGTAAACAAAAATGTTCTTACCGGTAAGTGGGTCTTCAAGGTGAAGACGAAAGCGGATGGTACTTACGAGAAACACAAGGCACGGTGGGTGGTTCGCGGTTTTGATCAGACTCATGGGATCGACTACACACTTACCTTCGCCCCGGTCAGTCGACATACGAGTGTTCGACTCGTTCTCTGCGAAGCAGCCGCGAAGAATTTTCCACTTCGACAAATCGATGTTTCCAACGCTTTTCTGTACGCCGACGTTGATGCCGAAATCTACGTCGAATATCCGCATACATATCCGACAAGTCCGCCAAGTGTCTGCAAGCTCAAGAAATCACTGTATGGCATCAAACAAGCACCGCGACTGTGGCAGCAGCATTTGAACAGAAAACTTACAGAGGTTGGATTCAGACAACTGCCGCATGACCCCGGAATGTATCGACTAGACGACAAGGGGAGCTACGCGCTACTTGTGGCTTACGTGGATGATATTCTCTACGTAAGTTCCTCGGCTTCTCTGGGTGATCGCATCGAAGCAGATTTGAAGAAGTCTCTTGACTTAACTGTTTCTACCGAAGTAACCCAATTTCTTGGGTTAAATATCTCGCGAACTTCTTCTGCCATTCACCTCACAGCATCGAAGTACGCTGAGTCACCCGCTAAGCGCTTCAAGATTCCTACAAGTTATGTCGCTACACCGTTTCGGTCTACACCCACTGGGTACATTTTCAACGACACCAAACTTTCAGCAGTTGGTTTACAACTATACCAATAGCAACTTGGGTGCCTTCTCTTCGCAGCAGTCACGTGTCGTCCCGACCTTGCGTACGTCGCAAGTTATCTCGCACAGTTTTTTGCGCTGCCCAAAAGAAGAACATCATCTCGATCTTCAGCGCGCTCTACACAATTTTGTTGCAACACCAACAGTCGGGCTGATTTTCAACACAGGAAAACCGACCGACAAAATGTACCTCAGCGGATATGTTGACGCAGACCACGCTGGTGACACGTCAGACCGCCGGTCACGAACAGGCTATATTTTCCGTCTCGAGCCCATTGGTCCAATCTCATGGAACTCATCGAAACAGGAACTGGTGTCACTTTCCTCGGCTGAAGCAGAATTCATTGCCGCGTGTGCTGCAACTCGAGAAGGACTATACTTACAGGAACTGCTCGACGAAGCGAAGTTCATCACGCCGAATCAGTTCACGTTGCAGTGCGACAACCAGAGTGCGATTACCATCGCCAACAAACCCGGCTTCGTCAATCGCACGAAACATATTTCACTACGTTACTTCTTCGTCAAGGATGCGATCGACAAGGGGAGAATGCGCCTTGTCTACTGTCCCACTGATGACATGGCAGCTGACTCACTTACCAAGAAGCTGACGCGACAGAAATTCCACCACTGCAACCAGCTCAGCGGAATTTCCGAGACAACCGGATAACTACACCGAACTCCTAGAAGTGAAGGGGAGTGTTGAGATAATATCGAGACATAAAGCACTTCAAGGAAATTCGTGTAGTACAGTAAAGTACCGATAGGCTGACGTCAGCAAAGCGCTACGCGACCTAGGATGACGTCAGCACGTAGCTATAGACTTCGCGAATAGTTACGTACCGTTTCAAGATACGGTAAGAATAGCACAGTACAGTAGGCGAACAGTACTTTACTCTAACTATATATTTTGTATGTTTGTCATTTTATGATATATCTGATTTCAGAGACATTTTTTATCCTGAAACATATCACTGCATAGACTTTATTAAGTCTAGACAAAGCCTTCACAACTGGCTTAACTCATATAAGACTTCCGCTACGACAGGAAGCTACCATCCTAAGACTACGATCCTTCAAACTCATTTCAAATTCTAACAATGCCTAGCCTAAACCTTAGGATGGCTCCTAGTCTCACCCTCTAGCTACTATTCTGACACTATAGTGAGGCCTACAGATAGGCCTCTGTGACGTCTCAATGGTCCTCTCCCAAGTAAGCAAAGTCAGCCGCCGATAGAGAAGTCACCTCGGATGGTGTGTGGTTGACGCCCTCGGTAAAACGAATTTGTGCACCTCGACAAACAGTCCGAGCTTGCTCACACTGGTGGACCACGCCAACGCTCAGCCCCGCACAGCCATACACGTCAGGCCACACGTGAGACGACGCCTTGCCACCCCCACCCCCACCCCCACCCCCACAACCCCCTCCACCTCCTCCTCCGCCCCCCCCTCGTGCCCGCTGCACCACAGATGGCACCCTTCCAAACAGCCTCCTTCCTCCTCCAAGAAGCTGACCACTCCACGCCTGCCACGTGTGCCCTGCCAGTGCCCTCCCACCTGCACCCCTCACCCTCTGCTTACACACACCCCCCACCTCTGCACCCATCTCCATCTCCTTGCACTCCCCTGCCAACCTCCCATTCGCCCTCTGTTTTTCCACCCCAACCGGCCCTGAAAAGGTGAACATATTCTCCCAGTCTTCATCTTCATCATCAACAGAGATCTCACCATCCTGGGAGGTCACACCCACGCACTTGCTCTCATTTTCCCTGTTGAATTCGCCCTCGGCCTTGCCTGCTGCCCTCTCCTCCTCCTGCGGCTGCCCCTCCTTCACTGTCGTGCCTGGCTGGATCGCCTCCAGCTCCCCTATAAGCTGACTCAGTATTGCCCGGCGAGCTTGTGCAGCCACTGCGTGGTGAGTGGTGGACGCCACACCTATTGCTTCAGCTAAAGCCCTGTGGTGGGCTGAACCTGGGGATAGCTCAACATTGTTTGTTGTGACTGCTGTGGTGGATACTGATGCAGCTTGTAACGAGGACAGCAGGTGAGTGAGAGGGAGCTCTTGGTTTTTCAGGCCAGTCGTTGCAAGCGATCTGCAGTGGCAGGTCTTGTCAGGGCACAGCCTGGCACTGCTGTTGCAGTTGTTGCAGCTGTTGCAGCTGTTGCAAATGTTGCTGCTGTTGCAGGAACAGCTGCAGCTGCTTTGGTTGGAGCACAGGTCGTGACTGAAGGAAACTGTTCTCTTACTGGAGACGTGCAACTTCTCAGCTTGAAAGGGGCCAGTTTCGGGAAACACCAGGTTGTGACTGTAAGCAGCGTGACTGTAAGCAGCGTGACTGAAAGCAGTGTGACTGAAAGCAGTGTGACTGCACGCAGCCTCACGGTAAGGCCAGTTGGGACTCCTGGAAGAGAATCCGTCCTCTTTACAAGCAACCCCGCCTTCTCCCTCTTTGTCCATCTCTGTCCTCTCTTGTCGCTCCCCCTTCCCCTCCTCCTGTCGCTCCCCTTTCTCCCCCTCGAGTTCGCCTGTACGCTTCTCCTGCTGCAACTCTTCTCTATGCCTCTGTCTCCCTCCCTTTCGTCTCCAAACGCTGCTGATGCTCTTAGACAGAACCAGCAGGGGAAACCGCGCATTTACCCATTCCCCCTCACCACGTCCTACACTCCTAAACGTGGGCGACTTCAAACCATGCCAGGCTTTTGACCCCTGGAAAGAGAGGGTTCTTCCTGCGTCTACTCTCAACCCCACTCCCATGCTTGGGCGTTTCCGCAATTCCCTCCGCGCTTCCTGCCCCCCATCTTCGCCTCGTTCCGCCACTCCTCGCGCGCGCTTATTCCCGCTGCATTCCCCCACGACTTCCTCACCCGCTTGCGCCTTTCCTGTTTCCGCCTCCCCCGCTTCCGCCTCCCCCTGCGCGTCCCGAAGTCGCATTTTCTCCAGCTCCTCTATCAGCTGCGACAGCGTGCGACGTCGCGTGCGACCAGATTGCGATCTACAGCCTAACGAACGTTCCGTCGCAGGTTCGCGAACGTCGTGGCTGTTACTACGACCGGGAGAGTGGGGCGAGGGAGAAGACAAACCTCCGCTGCGCGACTCTCCTTCTGCGCTGCTGCTGCTGCAGCCGCTCCCGCTGCCGGAGCTGCCGCTGGCGACGCAGCCGTGGTATCCATTGTCCAATCTACTCCCGCCGCTACTACTAGAAGTATAAATATTACTGCCACCGATACAATCGCCAGTACCTGACCCTCCGCCTAATCGAGCCGCGCCCTGCTGGCTGCGTTGACTCACGCGGCTCGTACTGCTGCTCGAGGAGTCGTCGCTGAAACTACTTCCTCCCAGCCAATCACGTCTTCCCGGTCCGCCAATCTCTCCGCCGTCGATTGCCGAGGGATGCGGAGCAGCAGCGGGGCGGAGCGCGCTGAACTGCCGCGCCAATGCCGCAGCTGGGGAAGGCGCAAGGATGATCGGCGGAAGGGAAGGGGAGTTGGGGAACGCGGAGGTGGGTCGGCGGTGGTTGACCGGACGCACGCTGGCTCCGCGGAGAATCGGCGGAGCGGCTGGTTTTGCGCTTGCGCCCGTTGCGGAAGCGCTGGCGCAAGGAAAAGCGGAAGGCTTTGCGCGCATGGGTGGCAGGGGGAGGGACGCAAGGGCGGCGGAATAGGAGGGGAAAGACGCGATGGGGGGAGCGGGGGACGGGCCTGTCCCGTCGAATGCCGCTTCCTTCGCCTTCGGCGGCGGCTCTACCACGTTCGCTGCTGCTGCTGCTTCTGCTGCTGCTGCTGCTCCCGCTTCCCCTATGCTCGGCCCCACACACTCTCTTTCCGCTTCCGCTTCCCCTCCGCTCAGCCCCACACACTCCGCTTCCGCTCCCGCTTCCCCTCCGCTCAGCCCCACACACTCCCCTTCCGCTCCCTCTTCCCCACCACTCAGCCCCACACACTCCCCTTCCGCTCCCCCTTCCCTTCCGCTCAGCCCCACACACTCCCCTTCCGTTGCCGCATTCCCTCCGCTCAGCCCCACACACTTCCCTTCCGCTCCCGCTTCCCCTCCGCTCATCCCCACACACTCCCCTTCCGCTCCAGCTTCCCCTCCGCTCAGCCCCACACACTCCCCCTCCGCCCCCGCTTCCCCTCCGCTCAGCTCCGTGCTGCCTTCCGCTCCCGCACCTGGAGACATCTCTTGCGAACCTCCCGCACCCTCCTCCGCCACCCGTTCCTCCGGGACAGGTTCGACAACTGCTGGTTCGGAGAGGGCTGGTTCGGAGCGGGCCGGCTCGGCGAGAATCGGTTCGGCAGGGGGTAGTTCTGCCTGCACTGCCGGTGCAGGCTCCGGATCCGCCTTTAGCGGTGGCTCGGTGGGAAGATCCGAAGACGAGTCGTCTCCTTGGGCTGAGAGCACGTGGACATGTAACACTGTATCACGGTCGTGTAACACCATGATGGCACCGTCTTGTAACGCTGTGGCTCCGTCCTGTGCAAGTGCGGCACCGTCTTGTACAAGTGTGGCAGAGTCGTTATCAGCTGCTGACTCGCTAGCGGCGGCATTATCGGCATCGACAGAAGCAGCGTTATCCTCACTCGTACCTGCAGCCGCAACGGTCAACTCATCGACTCGAGGCCCCTCGAACCCCAATTGGCTAGCGCTTGCCGTCGAATCGCCAACATCCAGTGCATTGCCTTCAGAGGCACCTACGGCCGCAAGAGTCAACTCATCGACTCGCGCATCCTTCGCTAACTCTTTCGCCGCCTCTTGAGGCCTCTCAGACCCTGAATCGCTAGCGTTTGCTGCGGAATTGCTAACACTCGCAGCATAACCTTCACTCGCGCCGGCTGCTGTGACAGCCGATTCATCGACAGCCATAAGATTATCTTCACGAGGACCTGCTGTGGTCGATTCATCGACAGCCGTCAGACTACCTTCACTAGCACCTGCTGCAGTAACGGTCAACTCATCGACTTGAGGCCCCTCAAACCCCGATTCGTTAGCACTTGCTGCGGAAATGCAAGCATCCGCAGCATTACCTTCAGTGGCACCTGCTACTGTTACGGACGACTGATCAACTCGCGAAGCCAGCTCTAACGCTCTCTCTGCCTCCTGAGGCCCCTCAAACCCTGATTCGCTAATGCTTTCTGGAGAACTGCTAACGGCCGCAACAGCCGCAATATCTTCACTAGCACCTGCTGCTGGAACGGACGATTCATCCACTCGCGAAGTCATCGCTAACGCTCCATCCGCTTCTTGAGGTCCCTCAAACCCCATTTCGCTAGTGTTTGCGACGGTAACAGCGCCTGATGCCGCAACAGTCAACTCGTCGACTCGCGCATCCAATGGGGACGTTTCCTCCATTGACTCCTGTGGAAGATTCCTCCCGAAGCTTCTTCGCTCGCCTCTCGCTTCTCCCAGCAAGCTCACGCCTCGATCTACCGCGGATTTGTTGCCCTGTCCGTCGAACTCCGCGCGATTTGCAACACAGACGTCTGAGGGCACGTGGCGAGGGAGAGTGCCGGCATTCACAATGCTGCATTCACAATGCCGGCATTTTCTTAAAACCCGCGGGCCAAGAAGGCCAAAATTGGTTCATCCTTCCTAGTGTTGGTTGGGTGTCCCAAAAACGCCTGTGATCATTCCCGAGTTTCTAGACCTCGTCCAACATTTTCGACACTCCTATTGGTTCGCGGGCCAAAAGCGTTTTCACTCCCAACCAACCTTCTGTGTACAACCAACCTTCCTAAGGTCACCTTCTTAGCCTATGATGCTACAACAACCCGTCACTTCGCATCGTCCTATGCGGCGGCGAGCTAAGTGATTTCCTTGAGCTCTGCTGTAGTCACGCTAGTTTCATGGGTGAAAGCTGCATTACACGCTGCAACACATGCCTGATGGATGGATGATGCAACGCTACGCAACGCAACTCAACGCATGCAAGGACGGAACGAGAAATGTGTGATGATGCGTTGCCCTCTTGGAGGTGAGTTGAAGGGGGGAGTGAAGGGAGTGAGTGAAGGAAAATCAATGCTGGAAAGGAAATCTATTTGTGAGCCAAATGGCGCGACGCGCGAAAGTCGTGGCCGAATCGGGTCCCCCGTGCGCACGGAATTGCCGAGCCGTTGTGATTCTTGAACAGGTCACTGGAGGAAATGAAGAACCGCCCTGGTTTCGGGTTTCCGATTCCTTTGGGCAGTGGTTTTGACACTGCCTCGCTTTTCCGCTCGCATCCGATTCCTTGGGGCAGCGGATTTCGACATTTCCAGTTTCCCGTGACCAGGAAAATTATGAAGTTTACCTGGTTTTAGTTTAGTGGCCAGTGGACAAAAAAAAAACCCCTCTCGGATGGCTGGCCATTCGGGAGGCATCAACCCGAAACACCTTACCTCATGGTGTTCAGGGTTGATGCCTCCCAAATGGCATGCCCTCCATGAGGGGTATATATTTTTTGTCCCTAGATATTCGTACATGACGCGACGATTTTATATAGGATAGCATAAATAGCGTTAATTACGTAACAGAATTTCAGTCTCTGGACTCAAGAAGCGGAAATAGCACCACTGCCGCCGCCACCACTCCCACTACCACCACCACCGCCACCACCACTCCCACCGCTGCCACCGCCGCCGCCACCGAAGCCCCCACTCCCGCCACCACTCCCACCGCCACCTCCGTCGCCTCCACCGCCTCCACCGCCTCCACCACCACCACCCCCGCTGCCACCTCCACCACTCTTGCCTCCCTTGCCCTTGCGGCTGCGCCGCTTCCCACTAGGAGCAGAAGCAGCCCCAACCTCCTCAGTACCAAGGATGTCAACAGCAGCAGTAGAAGCGTAGGAGGGGGCAAGGGCGGATGGGGAACACCCCTCAGAGAAGGGAGTGCAAGGAGTGCCACGAGCAGTGACTATGCTAGTCTCAGCTACAAGGAGGTGCTTCTCAAGCAGGTCGACAGTGAGGTGTGTGGGGTCAAGTGCGAGAAAGTGGTCCCTGACTGCGCGAAGAGAGTCAGGGAGGCGGATGACTATGAAGTAGAGAATGATGTACATCGGGGGCAAGTTCTTGTCTAGGAACTCGGCTTTGAGGGCAGCGCCGTAGCAAGTGTCGCTAGTGCGAAGGTGAGTGATGAGGGCATCGACTGTGGCAAAGGCTGACAGCTCGGGAAAAAAGTAGGGCAGTATAAGACGGCTAAGAGCAGCAGTGGCAGGGAAGGAGTAACGAGTGACTACAGCGTCGTACAGTGCTTTGGCAGTCTTGTGCTGGCCAAAATGCGCGCGTTCGGCTAATGGCAGGCGGTTGCGAACGGCTAGGCGAGCAGTAGCGTCACGGGTAAGCCACGGTGAGCGAGTCGCACTGTTAGCTGTCTCGGGAGGAGCGAGAGAGGTCCCAGACGTGTGGTCAAACAAGGAGACGCCGTCCCTAGACCCGCTCTGTAGGTACAGGTGTAAGTCGTCTAGCCATGTATCGAACTGGATTGGACGGCCCTCATGATCGAATGTGAGAACACTGAGAGAAGCCATAGCGGGCAGAGCAGGGTGGCGCGCGACCAGCAGGGCAGCACGCAGGCAAGGACGGGGCGACGGGCAGGGCGGCGCGCGAGCACTAGGGAAGCGCGCAGGGCAGGGCGGGGCGGCGCACGGCTAGGGAAGAGCGGCGCGCGGCCATGGCAGGGCGGCGCAACAGGCAGGGCAGGGCGGCGCAACTTGCAGGGCAGGGCAGGGCGGCGCGGCGGCCAGCAGGGTGGCGCGGACAGAGCAGGGCGACACGGCGGCCAGCAGGGCGACGCGACGGGCAGGGGAGGGCGGCGCGCTACCAGCAGGGCGGCGCGACGGGCAGGGCAGGGCAGCGCGCGGCCGACAGGGCGGCGCGACAGGCAGGGCAGGGCAGCGCTACGGGCAGGGAACTATGCGGTGAGCCCTAAAAAAAACGGTCCTGGAACAGGACCTGCTCTGAAACCATGTCAAGAAGCTGAACGAGAATGAATGCATTGAGAAGAAAGTTGGTACAAGTACATACCCTAATTAGGTTGTACCCCTTATGGGCTACCCCCACTACAGTCTACACAATACAAACATTATACTGACACGTTTGTGTACTATGGCACTACAATTCACTAACCGCCACGCGTCATCATTCACGTGGGGGCTGAAGATCTTACAAGCGCGCTAAACAATATCGTGCCACGCGTAACAGACAAAACCACCGATGTCGCATTAATGTTGACCTTGTCTTTTCGAAACTACACGAACCACCTACCACACAAGTTGTCAGTACATGCGAAACTCTTCCACCGTCCCGAAACAATGACATCCCACCTGGCCGACTGCTCGATCGAAGCCGAAAGGGCGGTTACAACCGCGAAAGCGCACGTAGGTTGATCGATTTGGACGAGGTTCGACCACCTTACCTGCAGTGCGAGCTTGGTCGACAGGATTGTGAGAGGCGCGCAATCAGCCATGTCGCGCAATTTTGCCGATTCTTGAACAGGTCACTGACACACTGGGCTTCGAAGTGATTGTATTGAAATAAAGAGTATGGTACACACTGATCAATGCGATCCAACTTACAGCTCCATTGAGCTATATGTTGAGATAGCTAAGAGGCCTTTTGGGGTGTGTCAAGAATATACATTTATTGTGCTGAGACAAAGCTTGAAAGTATAAATAGGCAGCCTGCTATGTGTCCTACTCTGCACACAAGCAGGAGCTATTCCACTGGTGGCACAACCCACCTATCCACACCATGCACTTTGAGAAACACCCCGTTGTGCAGGTTGGGAATTTTCACCTCTGCCCAAGTAAACAGCTTCGTTTCCGGCTGACCAAGCGCCACACTGAACCTAGTATTGAACTTGGTCAGGTTTGCACCTTCCAACAATGTTGGAATCTGGGCGTTACGCGGCAGCTGGCGCAGCTGACGGAGAGTGTACAAGCAACTGATGATGTTGTATGTAAGTGTACGCACCCATTCAGTTCCGTTGTCCCAAACTCGCAGCAGGGTGTCGATTAATGCCTGGTTGGATGGAAGTAGTATGGTTGTGTTCTGGATAACGGTGTAGTTGGTATCGGGATCCTCAACTAGAGGGAAAGGGGGAACACAAGAGAAAGGAAAAGGTGGGAGGGAAGGCACAGGGAATGAATGCGCAGATAAAGAATAGATAGCTAACACGGGAGGGACGGGAGATCAAGGAAAGCGGGTGAACAAGCATTTGACGAGGTATGAGTCCACAAGGGAAAATCAAACCTTTGGAAGACCCTCTAATCTGGGAAGGGAAATAGAAGCAGGGGGGGAATGATGAGGGGGACGAACAGGAGACTATGTGCAGAAGGGAACAGAGTTCAAAAGCACATCTGAAGAGCGTGGCATGTGCAGCAGTGACATGGCATAGCATGCTCACAAGCCAAGTCACATCTGGTGAAGTCACATCAGGTAAGATCACATCAGGTGAGAAGTCACACTCCTTGCTCACCTCACCATCATGCAAGACGTCGTCAAGGAACGGTCACATCAGGCCACACGGAATCACAGGGTGTGTGTAAATGTGTGAGTTCAGGGCCAAGACCCTCACTCGCCCGTTCAAGGAACCTCGCGGCGACGGAGTAGCGAGGCCTGGCAGCAGCAGCGAGTTGAAGGCCAGCGACCTCCACCCGCATCTGCTCGTTCGTGGGGGATGCCGCGACTGCCTGCTGCACAGCTCCGAGCGATAGCAGGATCAGCAGAAGCAGCAGCGGATGAAGAAGAAGAAGGAGAAGCGAGGGAGAACGAAACGGACGAGGAGGATGAGAAAAGAGATCCATGCTTGGGATCAACTGTACGCTTTATTCTTGCTTTGGTATTTTGCTTCTTAAAGGTGTTTGGGGCGACGAAATCAGCGATTCTTGAAACGTGTTTCTCGTGAATACACAAAGCGGTCGTAACACGGCTTATGAAAAAGACGGACTAACCGAGCCCTCCAAGCGCTCGGCGCCCTCAAGAACGAGCCCTCGAGTCGCGGGAGGCACTCTCTGGTGAAAGCTCGAAGGCTTCCACGCTCACCTCCCCTCTTCCGCATCGCGGCGATTTCGAGAGGGCCCTCCTGGGAAAGATCCCTAGTAGCGCCAAGCCCTCATGCCGTGCCACCCCGCATCGCTACCCTCCGAGGGTAGTCGCACGCACGCATTGTGCAGTAGTCGCAGCCGCCATGACGGTGGAGGGTTGCTGCTTTGTCGTATCTGGAAGGTTTCTGTCGTTGCGTGGCCGACTACGTTGCTTTCACCACGCCGCTCCGTTCTCTCCTATTGGTTGAGCTCATAAACTTGCTGAAATCTTCTAATCTCGCTCATCCGTTGTTGTCGGCCGAGTCGCTCGATTAGGGTAGGCTAGAGTTTTCTTATCTCAGCCTTCCCTGGTCAATTGTCATTGGTGTTGTCATTGGTCGGTTACCTTTTTTAGTTGTCGCCTGTCGCCGTCACGTCACGAGTACCTGCCGTCACGTCACAAGTACCTGCCAACCACTCGTGTGTGGAATGCAGGAATACTGGCACTCGTGTGCTGTTAGTGGTTCGGCAAGAGTGGTTTTTGTTTGTAGTTCGTGTTCAGGTATGACACCAAATTATATATCTTCTTACAACTTTCTTATGTTTAAGCGAAAAGAACTACATCAAGCATAACAACCTGGCACGCATTTACAGCTAAGGCAAGCAGCTTCACCACAGCATTGCAGAGTTCGCCTGATTATTCAAGAGGTTGCAAAAGTTCACAAGCAGCGATATTGTACACCCCTGATAAAAACACAAGGCGGCTCGGCTCACCCAACCACGTTTATTCCTGAAAAGGGCAACATCCAAGAGTTGCAAGTGAGCACATGCCACGGAAAAAATACAACAGAAGTTTACAGTGTACCAATCCGCTGGCAAGAAGTACATGTGAGACTGTAAAGAGGATGCTCTTACCAGTGCGGGTTTGATCGCCTTGCGGAAGATGAAGGCTGGCCGTGTGCTGTTGCGGATGGCTCTCCAGTAGGCAAGGAGAATGACAGCCGGCCGCACTGGTGGGCAGAGTAGGGGCAAACGGGAGTGAGGCACGCGGAGAGAGAGGGACAGGTTAGGAAGGGACAAGGTTAGGAAGGGACAAGGTTAGGAAGGGACAAGGTTAGGAAGGGACAAGGTTAGGAAGGGACAAGGTTAGGAAGGGACAAGGTTAGGAAGGGACAAGGTTAGGAAGGGACAAGGTTAGGAAGGGACAAGGTTAGGAAGGGACAAGAGGCCCAGCAAGTTGTCAGGCGCCTGGTGCTTGAATGACCTGGTATGCAGCATTGGTGGGTGTGGCAACACCACGTCGACAGGAGGTTCGGGGCGGGGGGTTGACTCACGTCGAATCTTTCGAATGCTCTTCAGAAGGCTCTGCGGTTTCCTCTTGCTGCTTCCATTCTCGCCTGCCTCGTCCGCTCGCTCCTCCTGCTGGCTGATTGTCGTTGCTGCTGCTGTAAGTGGCCTTCCTGTTGTTGTTGCCCCCGGCCTGTCCGAACGAGTCCTCCTCATGTCAAACTCGTTTCGAGTGAACATTGAAGCAGGCACCGACACCACCCTACTCCATCTCGCCTTCACACTCCTCTTTCTGCCCCCTTCCCCCACCTGTCCCCTCCCTCCTCTCTTCCCACCCTCCTCTCCTTCATTCCCCTCTCCCTCCTCCAGCCTCCCCAGAGGTCTACACATCTTGTATTCCCCTCCACACTTCCCACACCCCCCCCCTGCACCCTCGTTCCCCCCGCACCTATTCCCGCCCGCCTCCCCCCCTCCCCTTGCTCCTCCCGCGCCCCCCCTACTGAGCCTATGCACGGGGGAGTAGACAGGGCGCCGGTTCCTCCCCACCACGCGGATTTTCCGCAGGGGCCATCCAGGGGAGGGCGGGGGGAAGGAGGGGGAGCAGAGGAAGCGAAGGGCAGCGTCAGGGGAGGGCGGGGGGAAGGCGGAGAGCAGGTGGTGCGCGCTGAGGGCGGGGGAAGGGAAGGACGTGGAGGGGCTGGGCGGGGGGAGGGCGGAGTGGGCGGAGAGGGCGCTGTGGGTGGTGATGGCGCGGGAGAGGGAAGGCGGGATAGAGGCGGTTGTAGCAGCGGATGTTGCAGAAACTGCAGCAGCGGTGGTAGCAGGAGTAGCGGCTGTAGCAGGGATTGCAGCAGCGGTTATAGCAGTAGCAGGGGTTGTAGCAGGAGTGGGGCGGACGGGGATGTATTTGGGCGGGAGCAGCTTCTTGCTCGCTGCTGCTGCTGCTGCAGAGTTGCTGTTACTGTTGTTGCTGCTGCTGCTGCGTGCCCTGCTGCTGCTGATCTCCCTTATGCTGATCGCTTTCACGCTCGGTGATCTTACCGTGCTCAGGGATATAGCCGTGCTGGCGTCGCAACCAGAAACGCTGCTGCCGATACTGGTGATGCTGGTGCTCCTGCTGCTAGCAACTCTACCGCTTATTTCCTTTACACTGCCTGCTTTCATGCTCGGAGATTTCGTCGTGCTCACTGACTTTGCCGTGCTGTGGGCCCCACAGACGCTGCTGCTACCACCGACGCTGCTGCTGATGCTAGTGATGCCGACGCTCCTGCAGCTGCTGCACTTCGCTCCTCTCGCATTCATCCCACTGCTCTTCGCCTCACTGCCGCCTTCCGTGCTGCCGCCTTCCGTGCTGCCAACAGCACCACTCCGCCTCCTGCTGATGCTGCTGATACTAGTGATGCTGATGCTCCTGTTGCTGCTGCTTTTCGTTCCTCTCTCATTGCTCTTCGCCTCACTGCCGCCTTCCACGCTGCCAACAGCACTTCGCCTCTTGCTGATGCTGCTGCTGCCCTCGGTATTGCCAAACCCGTTAGTGGCACCACTCTCTGACTCGCTATACACGCCCTCCTCGCTATACACCGTTTCGCTACAACTGGTAGTGTAGTTCTGCACACACGAACGAGCAGCAACTGCACTGTTACCCCCTCTGCTGCTCACACCCTCAACTCTGCTCCCCCCCTTGCTCTTCCTCTGCTTCGTACTCATTATTGCCCCCTCGGTACCGTGTATTGTGCCCTCAGGGCTCGTTATTGCCACAGGCGCGTGTTCATTTATTGCCCCCTTGGTCCCATCAATTACGCCCTTGCTATACCTGCTGCTTCTGCAATTGCTAGAACTGACTGCCTGGCTGCTCCTGCTGTGTCTGCTGGTGCTGCTCCCTCCCAGCTTTGTGTAAGCGCTGCTGGTACTGCTGCTACCGAGTCTTACAGAAGTGCTACTGGTGCTGCTGCAGTGGTTGATAATCATTGGGCTGCTGCTACCGCTTATTGCTGGACTGCCACGTGTCTGTTTCTGATTTGGGCTGCCAACGCCACGTGCCTGGCTTTTAACGGGAGATGAAGTCAAGGACCCATTGCTCCGCCTCTGCTGCTGCCCTTTCTTCTCTTGCTTCCCGTTCTGCTGCTGCTGCTCTCCCTTCTCCTCCTCGTTTTCCTTTTCCTGTAAGAGCTTCTGGTTTGCAACACCAGAATCACAAACGTCAGCAGCTGCAGCAGTCCCACAGGTTTTCACAGCAGTTGCAGCAGCTGCTGCTGTAGGAGAGCCAGCAGCAGCACTTGAAGCAACACCACCGCTCTGCACCCTCCCGCACTCACTCCCCTCGCTCTCACTCCCATCCGAATCCTCCCCTCTCACGCGCTGCCTCTTCCTCACTCTCCTCTTCTCTCCGCCCCCTCCTTTCCCATTACTACTCTTCAACGTCTTCTGTCCTCCCACTCCTGCTGCTCCTTCACCAATATCCCTTCTTCCCACTACTCTAGCTGCAACCATCCGTCCTCCAACTCTCCTTCTCTCCCTTCCCTCGCTTCTCTCACGCCCCTGGTTTCCGGCCTTACCGAACCGAAACACTGCCACGTCAGCAGCGGCCGGCAGCGAGAAGGTATTACGATCAGCAGTTGCAGCCGCGGGTGACGTCATCGTGGTGAAGAGAAGGAATGGCTGGGCGGCAGCTGTGGTGGAGGTAGGCTCAAGCTGGGCGGCAGATGTGGTGGAAGGCTGGGCGGCAGCTGCTCGGTTTGACGTCTTGGAGTCCGTTGACAGAATTGACTTTTGAGATATTTCATATTTGTTTGACCCCGTTGACTTGCTGGATTCTTGAGACGCACGTGAGGTCCGAGAGTTTGCTGATCGCCTTGACCCCGTTGACTGGATTGACTTGACCGAGTGCTTTGGCCCACTTGACTGACACGAGGCGTCGGAGTGGTGTGGCGAAGGGAGGGGCGAACTGAAGGGCGAAGGCACAACTGCTTTCCCCCCTCCCTCCTCCTCCAATTCTTTCTCCCCACCTTCTCCCTCCCGTTCCTCTTCCTCCTCGTCCTCCTCTTGCTCCTCTCCCCGCCCCTTCATCTCCACCTCATCAACCTCATCAGTCTCATCAACCCCATCGCCTCCATTGGTTTCATCGGCCAACTCTCCTCTCGCCTTCTCACTCCGCCTCTCGCTTCCCCCCACACTCCGCGGGTTGCTGATCATCTCAATCTCCTCCACGTCACTCTGCTCCACGTCACTCTGCCTCTCCACCTCACTCTCATCCTCCTCTGCGTCGCTCTCCTCCACGTCACTCTCGTCCTCCTCTATGTCACTCTCGTCCTCCTCCACGTCACTCTCATCCTCCTCCACGTCACTTCCGTCCACACTCTCCTCTTCACCAACCGTCACCCCCTCACACGGCGGAGCAGCGAGCGCAATTCCGCCGCTCGGCGGGCTTCCTCTCGGGCTGATCATCTCGATTTCTTCCGCCTCACTCTCCGCCTTCCCCTCCGCCTCCCCCTCCGCCTCCCCCTCCACCTCGCACTCCCCCGTCGCTATCCCAAAGGGATTCACACCGCCGCCACCCGCAACCTCCGCGGCTTCTCGTTCCGCCGCCTCTAGTTCCGCCAGCTCCCGTTCCGCCGCCTCCCGCTGCCGTTCCCGCGCGCATTCCGCCAGGCTCTCCTCGAGCAGCGCAATCCACTCCGCGTCCTCCTCCTCCGCAAGATGAGCCCCGCTTCCCCCTTCCGCCAGAGGCGCATCAACGGCACAATCCGCACCCTTGTATCTAGGAGAATGACTTGCGCCATCTTGCTTCTCATTCCCCGCTTCCTCTTCCTTAGTCTCCGCGTTCCCCGCTTTCTTATTCCCCAAAATGGCATCAACCTCGAAACTCTCCGCGACGCACAGCGCGTACGATCTCTGCTGCTCCTCCTGCTTCTTCTGCTGCTCCTGCTGCTGCTCCTGCTGCTCCTGCTGCGGCGGCGGCGCCTCTGCTTCTGCTGCGTTCCCCGAGGCTTCCGCCTCCGCTCCCCCTTCCGCTTCCATTTCCGCTCCAACGATCAGCACCGTATCCTCCCCTTGTTTAACCTTCCCCTCCTCCGCCTCATCCTCCACAATTCCCGCCGTCCCGTCCTCCTCTTCGTCGTCCTCATCGTCCTCCTCTTCATCTCCCTTTTCCTCACCTTCCGCCTCTTCCGCCTCCTCCGCCACTTCCGCCTCTTCCGCCTCTTCCTCCTTTTCCTCCTCTTCTTGCAGCGCAATCAAATCAATTTCCAGCTCCAGAAACCCCTCCTTATCGTCACACTCGCTACCCTCACCTTCGGTTTCTCCACCAACGTCCAGAGTCGAACCCCGCTCCAGAGGCTCAATTTCACCTTCTCGTTCTCCTTCCCTCATTCCGTCCTCTCCTCTTCCTTCTCCTCCGCAGTTCTCCTCGACTTCCGCCTCGCCCGCTTCCCCATCGCTCGAGCCAAGCATCAGCGCATCTTCCAGCTCCCGCCGAATATCCGCCTCCTCCTCCGCCGCCATTCCCGCCAGACACGCACGCAGCTCCTCCTCCACGTCATCACCGCATGATTCACTATCAGCCTCCTCGATAAGGCGAGAACGTTCGTGTGTTGTTCCCGCTTTCGTTTCCGCGTTGTCCGCCGTACCCGCGCCTTGCCCGTTCAGGCGTTGCGCCTCGTTTCCTGCCCCTGCGCTGCTTTCCGTCACTGCGCTGTTTTCCGCCATCGCGCTGCCTTCCGCAACTCCCGATCGCGCCGCAACCCGCTCCGCGTCGTGCCCGCCCGTTTCTTTTCCAATCGCAAATCCTTGCTCGTGGTCCTGTTCCGCGCTGCTTTCCGCATCCGCGCAAATTCGTTCCGCCGGTGCGGACTCCGCAGCTGACACCAGCGGGGACGCCAGCAAGCCGCTGAGTCCCCTCGTCGCGGTGGGTTCGGATGCCACGTCAGCATGCGCCTCGGCTGCCGCCTCGTCGGCATGCTGCGCTCGCCGTTCGATTTCCGCAACGCTGTTGCGCTGTTTCTTCCCCGCGGACTTCTTACCAGCCTTCTTCACCCGAGCTTTCCGCGCATTCTTCCGCGTGCGCGGCTTGGTCGGAGCATCAGCAGCGACCGCAGCAGAAACGGTTCCCGGCGCGCTCGAGTCTCCCATTCGAGAGCCATCAGCACAATCAGCAGGTTCGGTACAGTCAACACAGTCAACAGAGTCATCGAGGAATCGACGGAGCCGCGTCTCCTTCGTCTCCGTGTCAGTCTCCGCGTCTCGTTCTGAAATCGTTACCTCCGCCGTGTCTTCCGCCACGTCCTCTGCCGTCAGCTCCCCCTCCTTCCGCCCGCTCACCGGCCCTTCCGCGTCCGACTCCTCTTCGTCCGCCAAAACCAGTCTAAGCCTTTGATCCTCTATCTCCTTACGCTGAACCGCTTTACCGTTGCTCTCCTCTACCATAGATGGTGTTATCTTGTGTTGAAGCATAACAACTTCATCTTCGCAATCGAAGTAGCTACCTGTACGAAGTGTTTTCGGGAAAGATTCGCCTTCCCCGAGAAATTTCTCTTTCCGAATTTCTGTCGATTTCACAGCTGCCCCAGCCGCCGCTTCCCCCAAAGTTCCTTTCCCCACGCCTGCCCGTCCAGTCAGCTTCGGCTCCTCCGCGGAGGCTCCCGCTCTGCCGCGCACGTCCTTGGGCGGCGGATTGCGCGCATCCGCCTTAGACGGCAGCGGGCCGAGGTCAAGAGATGGAATGGCGTTGCGCGGAAACGGCGATGGCCGCGCAGACGAGGAGAGGCTCGAAGCGGGGGAGTATGCGGCGAATCCGAGTTCCTCGCGCTCTCGGGTTACGAATTCCCCGTCGATCCTCCGTTCCCGTTTCCCCGGGATTCCCGCCAGGATATCCGCCTGGACTTGCGCCGTGGCATACGCCATGGAAGCCGACACGAGCATCTCAGGAACGTTGTGGACGCGGCGCGAGGCGGACCGCGGGGAGAAGAAGCTTCGGCGAAAGCCGAGGAGTTTGGGCGCGGAGCCATCGGGATGCGCGGAGGGGGACTTGGGGGCAGGTTTGGATTTGGATGCGCCGAAAGGGTTGAATCGCGGCGTGTGGGGACTGGACGGTCGGGATCGTACGGATGGTACGGATGTGCGTCTGTCTGTTCTTCTCGCCTCGGAGGATACAAAGTGCGACATCGTCTTCGCCTGGTTTCCCCGCACGCGAGAGGTACTTTACCAGGATTTGTGGATTCAGGCGGCCATTGGTGCCAGGCGAAGCTAAGGAAGCTATGGGAGCTATTGAACAGCAAAGTAGCAGTTGCCTTCGATTCTCTGTTGTGCATTACACAGGGCGAGGACCAAGGGAATGAAAGGCGAACCTTGGCTCGAGCAAGGTTGATGGCTTTTCACTGGACTGTGTCGAGAAGACACTGTGGATAGGTGGAGGGTAAGGTTGCAATCGATGGGGGCCGAAATTTCTGTATAGAATGTGGCACGAAGGGAGGAGGAACGGCGATGGGGTGCAAGTACGGTCTCGATAAACTGTCTGCCATGTTTCCCGGTGGGGCCATCCTGAATCAATTCGTGTGAAGCAGAATGTCGAATTGTTATCGCGCCGCATGTTGGCCGCATGTTGGGCGACTCGATGTTGTGGAAGCCCAGAGAGGAGAGTGGCGTGTGCTTGGGTTGGACCTCGACGTGGCGCGTTCGGGGGAGGAGTGAAGGTGCCGCGTCGTGCGGGGTGAGGGGGAGAACGTGGGGTTGCCCTGGCCGGGATTTTCCGCATGCGGCAAAGACTCGCACGACTGACTCTAGCGGAACTCCTTGCGTACAATTCGCAAATCGAACAACGCAGCGACTGCAGATATACCTCCGCCTTCACTGATTCGCAATTAAATGAGCCGGTACTGTATATTAGCCAGGTCGAGTGTGCATACAGAACGGTTTTTTTCTAGCTTTACCATTTAATATACTAATTTATATGTATAGCTATAATAATCATTGCTATAATTTTTATCAATCATGTCATTAAAAAATTCTATAATTTAAAAGGAGATTTTTAATTCATTACCAGAAGAGCAACTCCCATTCTTTTAGAGTGCAATCTTAGCAGGATCATAACTTCTGATTCTAACTTTCGTGCAACCTTGAACTTTAGCGGAGCAAGCTACAGCAGCGGCGAGTCCTGCCACTTCCGACAATCCCAAGGGAGCTCCAATCAACCCCGAAGTCAAGCAAACCAGAGGGAATGACGGACCGCCCTGGTTTCGGGTTTCCGATTCCTTTTGACAGTGGTTTTGACACCGCCTTGCTTTGCGCTCGAGTCCGATACCTTCGGTCAGTTATTTACGCTATTGCCCCATTTCGAGTCTAGAGACGAATACTGTGTTTATTTATCAGGATATCATAAATTGATTTGTCGCGTCAATTACGAGAAGCTCGGGACAAAAAATTATTTTCCCCTCATGGAGGGCATGCCATTTGGGAGGCATCAACCCTAAACACCATGAGGCAAGGTGTTTAGGGTTGATGCCTCCCAAATGGCCAGCCATCTGAGAGGGGTTTATTTTTCCCACTGGCCACTAAACTAAAACCAGGTACTTCAGAATTTTCCTGGTCACAGGAAATTGGAAATGGCGAAATCAGCTGCCCCAAGGAATCGGACGCGAGCGGAGAAGCAAGGCGGTGTCAAAGCCACTGCCCAAAGGAATCGGAAACTTGAAAACAGGGCGATCCGTCATTTCCTCAGCAAACCAGCTACACTCCCCTGGAAGCTCCAGCGGTTGTTCAGCTGCTGCTGATGACCACCCACCCACCGCAGCCGCCTACTCCACGTGCCAGTCTTGAATTCGGTACATTTCCAAGCCGCCTAGCAGTCTGTGATCCGGCGCGCGGGAAGCACGCGTGGCTCTTAGTCTCATTAGGCGGTGGTACTTCCAGTGACTCAATCCAATGCTTCCCGCTCGCATGAAATCATGGAGCTGTTCGCGCAAGCGTGCTTTCGGGTTCGCCGTGCTCCCAGCAGCGCACGTGGCGCTTGTGATGGCGGCGCTGTTGAGTCATTCCGTAGCGTGGATTGCGTTCGCGAGGGGTCAGACCATCGCTCAATCTCAAGGCATGTCGTTTCGTCGTTCTCCGTGCTCCCGTAGCAAAAATTGGGGGGCCTCATACTATGTACTTACATGTTCTCCTACATTGCATTTACTATATAGAGCTCTGTATTTACAATGTAGGAGAACATGTAAGTACATTATACGAGGGCCAAACAATTTTGGGATGCCGTGCTTCGCGTTCGCGAATTCTGTCAATGAATTGTGCTGTTAGTTCCAGGTTTCCACAGCATTTGTCAGCGATTGCTGTCTTCAGAGTTCAGCCTTTCACTAATTTAGTTTGCCTTTATCGAGTCTGGTATTCAAAGTAGTAAAAGGTGGCTATATTCTCTCTTCATCCTCGTTCCAAATCCCATTGCTTGACTGTCAGAATCCACATTAAGCCGTTCCCCCTGTCAGTACCTTTCATTTTCAATTTAAAGTCCTTCTCTTTCGTCTTTCCAGTTCCCGGATTGGTAGTTAGTGGCGTTCAATTTGGCTCAGAAGTTTTTACCTCTTCCTCTGTCCAGTTCCTGGGTTGCTTGACTGTCAGGCCGCATGGGGAGTCACGTTCAACCAATGGCAGGAGGGCGGTGACTGTAGCCAGGCGGATGGCCTCACATGTGACAGTAACGGAATGATTACCAGCATGTGAGGCACACAACCTTCGCTTCAATGAGTTCTTGATGGTCTGCGTTAATTATTTCACGCTTTTGTTTTTTAGCCTACGACTAAGAAATTCATTGTGTCGTTCCACATACGCTGGTATTGTAGGGGTAATGCGGTGCGGTCACCACCACCTACCTACCTATATCATGCACCATAGAGGGGTAACGGAATCACCTCATGCACCATCCATGCATGATGTGTCGATATGCAGGGTTCTGGACTGGATGACATGGGGCTATCAGGCTCGCTACCTACGTCGCTCAGATCATTTATAAATCTCTCCTACCTGTACGACAATCCTTCCCTGACTGTACGATCATCCTGTCCTCCTTCCTTCACTCATCTCCTATCAGTCTTTTAAGCTTCCCCCTCAGCTGACTCTCATTTGACGCATGCCTGCGAATCAAACTTATTTCGTCCTTACCTTCTCCTCCCTCCCTCCATGCTCCAGTGTTTTTTTTACCTCTCCATCCTTCCTGCTTTCGCTCGCTTCACAACCTTCCAATCGTCCCGTCACAGAATTCAAAATTAGTTTCAAAAGATCAGAGTGTACCGTGTGAACTCTCTCTTATAGAGTTTTCATCTCCTTTAATTCAACAGCTCGCTCTCCTTGCTGTGTATCCCCTTCCTCTGTTTCTGCACCCTTGCCTTGCAACTTCCCTCCGCCCCATAATTGCATACAACACACATGCATCCCCCATTGTCCCCTCCCCATCATCCCAAACTGTGTATGTGCACGCCACATCCCACCTGCCTGCACGCCTCCCCACCGCACTGCACCGCTCTGTGAGAGCAGTAGTCTGTGGAGCAACTCGCTCACGGGGGAACTGCCTTCCACTATCACTGCACTGACGGCTCTCAGTGACATGTGAGTGAGTGTGAGTGTGAATGTGAGTGTGAGTAATTGTGAATGTGAGTGAGTGTGTACACCGCTCTAACACACCTGCACTGCAATCTACCTCCCCACTCGCGTCCATGTGTGTGCCAGTTCTGTGGGCACTCTAACATCATCCTTTTCACCCTCTCCCCACCACGCTGCTCTCGACTTCAACCATCTCATCTCACCAGGTCACTTCCTCACTCACTCTAACCGCTTTACTCTTCCCATATCCCCCTCTTCCCCTCTCCCCCTCTCCCCCTCTCCCCCTCTCCCCCTCTCCCCGTCTCCCCCTCTCCCCCACTCCCCCTGCTCCCCCTCTCCCCCTGCTCCCCCTCTCCCCCTGCTCCTCCTCTCCCCCTTTCCCCCTCTCCCCCTTCTCCCCACCAGTGTTTTTGACTTCAACCACCTCACTGGGTCACTGCCTCATTCTAACCCCTTCACTCCTCCCATATCACCCTCTCTCCCTCCCCCCCTCTCCCCCTCTCCCCACCGCAGTGTTCTCGAATTCAACCAACTCGCTGGGTCACTGCCGCAAGGCCTCTCCACGCTCTCTCGCCTCTCCAGGCTGTAAGCGGCGCATTCCTCAATTCTGCTAGGTACGCTACGCTGCAGGTAAATGCTCCAATTACTCTCCCTCCTCTTACACACCTTATTCCTTCCTTCATCCCTTTCCTGGACCACTTCCAAGAACAACGTGCTCTCAGAATCTGAGTCGCTTATGAGAGTGCTCAAATAACGTCCTCTACAGTTCTCAAACAACGTGCTCCCAGAATCTGAGTCCCAGAAGGCACCTCTACTCTACACTCGCTCATCTCTCTACGCTTTCAATTCAACAGCTCTATCCTGCTACGCTCCTGCTGGTGCTTCACTCACTCCTGTCGCACACCTTATTCCTTCACTCACTCCTGTCGCACACCTTATTCCTTCACTCACTCCTGTCGCACACCTTATTCCTTCACTCACTCCTGTCGCACACCTTATTCCTTCACTCACTCCTGTCGCACACCTTATTCCTTCACTCACTCCTGTCGCACACCTTATTCCTTCACTCACTCCTGTCGCACACCTTATTCCTTCACTCACTCCTGTCGCACACCTTATTCCTTCACTCACTCCTGTCGCACACCTTATTCCTTCACTCACTCCTGTCGCACACCTTATTCCTTCACTCACTCGTGTCGCACACCTTATTCCTTCACTCACTCCTGTCGCACACCTTATTCCTTCATTCATCTCCTGTGCCTCCCCACCTTCCCACCTCTTGTGTTCTCCTTCCTTCCTTTACGCAGTGCTCTGGGCAATAACCGTTTCGCCAGCTCTCTTGGTTGCTCTTTTGCAGCCCTCCGTGTTTCACCAGCCCTCCTGGTTTCCCCTTCCTCCCTTACTTTCCGCAGTTCTCTGGGCAATAACCGTTTCGCCAGCTCTCTCCCAGACTGGATCGGCGGCCTGTCCCTCCTGGAAACGCTGTGAGCTGGCCTCCACTCCATGCGAGGCACCTTAGGGGTCTTTGGGGGTCGTCTTTGTGTGTTTTGAGTCGACTCAATCAAAACACTTCTTTCCGCAGTGCTCTGGGCAATAACCGTTTCGCCGGTTCTCTCCCCGATTGGATTGGATCGGCGGCCTGTCCCTCCTGGAAACGCTGTCAGATGACAACCAACCTTGGGGACCTCGGGGGCCTTGGGGGCCTTGGGAGCCTCGGGGGCCTTGTGGGGGACCTTGGGGGCCTTGGGGGCCTCGGGGGCCTTGGGGGCCTTGGGATACGGCCCTTTACTCACTAACGCAGACCACAGCGAGAAAATTAATCTGCCTTCAGATATCGTACCTGTGAGACAACGAGCCTCAGGATTCAGCCGAGCCGAGGCCCTTTGTGCATGAACCCTGAGGCTCCAGAAAGCGAGCCTCGAGCAGAACATGCCTCTCTGAGGCTCGCTTTGACAGTATCCTAGGAAGAAACCTGCTTGCTGTTGTTGCGATGAGCTGAGAGTCGTCTGAACCGAAATCGGCCTTGTCTCGTCTCCGCTCTCTTCATCCCTTACTCCCCCACGCCACGCCACCTACGAAACAGTCAGAACGATTAGCTTATGCCCCCCCCCATTACTCCCTTGTGGGGTGGGTGGGTCGTCTTCTTTCTCTCATGCTTTCCTTCTCCCACCTTCCCTTGAACCCTTACAGAGACGTCGGCAAAAATAACCTGATCGACACTCATTTCTTCCCTTGTGGAATCGCTCTCCTCTCCTCTCCCCTGTCCTCTTCCATCCCCTCTCTCCTTTCCATGCAACCCCACAGGGACGTCAGCAGGAATAACTTATCCGGCCCCGTCCCATCCTCCATCGGCAATCTCCTCAACCTCACCTTCCTGTCAGTCCCTCCTCTCTTCCTTCTCTATTATTACAACTCTCCCTTTCACCCTCTTCTTTCTACGCGCCTCAAACTCCGTCTCAATCTTGAGGCGCCTAAAAGGTCACCTCGCCTCCATTAGCAATCTCCTCAACCTCACCTTCTTGTCACTCCCTTTCACTCTCGAAAGCTCTGAGGGTTCTCCTCAGTCTCTCCTTAAAACCCTCGGTTTGAGGGATCTCAAAACTCACCTTCCTTTCAGGCTCTCTCCCTATCTTTTCTGCTCAAGTCCCCTGCACCTCACATTAGTTTTCAACTCTCTTTTCTGAAGAGAAATGCCATTGATATTGTACCTATGTTTGCTCTATCCCATCCTTCCTAGCCCTCTCTACCCCATCCATCCTTGCTCCCCCTCTCTATCTTGCCTCTCTCTATCTCGGCCCTCTCTATCCCGACCATCGCTGCCCCCAACTGTCACGCCCATGCAGGGGACTTGAGTACAACGCCTTCATCGGCCCTCTACCCGCCACCCTTGTGCAGCCCTCTCTTTTTCTCACCCTCGTTTCCCCTCTCTATCCCGCCCCTCTCTACCCCATCTATCTATCACTGCACTCACAACGCCCATGCAGGGGACTTGAGTACAACGCCTTCACAGCTGCTCTTCCCGCCTCCCTCGGTTCCCTCACCACCCTCGCATACCTGTGAGCAATTGGTGTGCGAGCTGCTTCTGAGAATTCTCAAAAGTGACACAAAACGTTGCTTCTGAGAATTCTCATAAGTGACACAAAACGTTGCTTCTGAGAATTCTCAAAAGTGACACGAAACGTTGCTTCTGAGAATTCTCAAAAGTGACACAAAACGTTGCTTCTGAGAATTCTCAAAATTGACACAAAACGTTGCTTCTGAGAATTCTCCGCAGCCGACTCTTCCTGCCACCCTCGGTGGTTCCCTCACTACCAGCCTCGTGTCTCTGTGGGTTGCCCCACCTGCACTCCGTACATCGTTTTCTCGGTCTTAAAACGCACATACCCACTGATTGGATGGAAGTAAGGCCTCCGCAGCCCACCAGTCGACCTTTTACCAAATCCAGCTACACCTCTTCGCTCCCATACCCAGTTTTTGAGTCGATTCAAAAAGCTGCGCCTTAAAATGATGCACACCACGTATCTTCTTCGCTGCCATTCCCTCTGCTTAAAAAACCTCCCTTTATCCCTCTCCCCTCCCTCATCCAACATGCAGTAACGCAGCGAACGCATCACTGTGAGGACAGTCCCACATTCTTGAAATATCCCATCCTTTATCCTTCATCTCTCCCTCATCCCCCCACCATGCAGTAACGTAGACAACACGTCGCTCACCTGTCCCACCACCCCAGCCTCCTGTGAGGTGCCTCAGGACCCTCTTTCTGTCTTCTGTGTCAACTGCGCCACCTTCTGCTCTCAGTGCTCTGCTGCTGGTAAGCCTCTCTGGTTTCCTCCTGCCTTTCATGTTGGAGTCAAAGCCTCAAAACCCCTCTCGGCCTTATGTGTCGACTGCCCCACCTTCTGCTCCCAGTGCTCTGCCGCCTGTTCATTCAAACTCTAAATGTCCCGTTTGCCACGTCAACTGCTCTTCTGCTTGTCAGCCTTTCCCTTCCCCACCCCCTCTCTGCCACCTCACTCTCCTTCCTTTGCCTTCTCCTGCTGCTATAACAAAAATGTCCCTTGTCTCCTCTCATTTACCCTTCTTTCATTCGTTCAATAAATTCCCCTTGTCATCTAGTTCTGCGACTCCTTCGCTTCCGTTTTTTTCCGGGCGGTTGCATGCTCGTGTCCTTTGCTCCGCCGCCTGTCGCATGACTGAAACCTGTCATCCCCTTTCCCTCCTTTCCATGCCTTCTATGCTAACCTCAAAGCTCCTCAAGCCCCACCGGTCCAGCCACCAGCAGCACCACCAATACCAGCACCAGTACCATCAGCGCCATCACCATCAGCACCAGTACCTTCACCAGTACCGCTTCCACCATCCCAATCACCAGCTGCAGCACCAGCATCATCACCACCCGCAGCGCCACCGTCACCAGCGCCACCATCACCATCACCTTCCATCAGCCCATCCCCACCATCCCCACCATCCCCACCACCAACACCACCAACACCACCTTCACCATTGCCACCACCACCTACACCCAAACCTGCCTTGCCAGTGTTTGTAAGAGCCCTCTACACCAATGCAATGATAGTTTCCGTGCTAGCCCTCATGATTGTTGTCTTTTGATGAGTGATAATTTTCACGGTTGCTGTTTATGTCTGCACGGCGAGTGTTTCGTGATGGGGCATGAGCTCTGTCGGTGTGTTAAACGTTTGGTAGCAGCAGTTATTTATTTGCTTGGAGTTGCTGGTCAAATAAGAAAGTGATGTTGAGCAGAGGAGAAGGGAGCTGAGTTTGATAGTTGAAAGTGTTGAGAAATATAACATATAACGAAACATTTATGCTGTTAGATTTTACTGTAGTCCTCCTTATAAGACTTCAGGGCCTACAATAATTGTACAATTACTGTAGGGCTGGAATTATTGGAGTGTAGAGGTCTGGGGATAGAATTATTGGTACTCCTTTATTGGAGTTGCCATTATTGGTGGCACAATTATTGGTGTGGATGGATGGGTATGGGTAGGGTAGCTGATAGCATAAATTCCCTGCTATGGTTTCATAATCAACAAATTCCATTATTATGAATCCATTCAGTTGCAAGGTTCTCTTGCTCTTCTCTTCTACAATCAAGGCTTCCGCTACAATGGCACTATGCCTTTCTAGCATGGTATCAGAGCAACTCTAGGGGGCATACTGCCGAAATTTCGTGAGAACTCTTATTATCTACATTGGTTAAGCACGGGATGCAATCAAGTGGAGTTATGCGACGTGACCAAATGGAGGTGGTGGAACGTGAAGGAACACAACGCACTGTGCAACTACCTCGACCATCTACCGTGCCTACGCTCTTCGACCCGTCTCCTCGCGAGTACACCGAAGAAGATAAAGACAGGCTATCACGTAAAATGGTGGGAGCAGCGGTGGACAAGGCGTTCACAACAACCCCGTTCGACAACACTAACTTTCGAGAATGGACTCTTCGATTTCGCATGAACGCGCGCGTGACAAATCTGTGGGAGTTTTTCGTGACATTGCAGTACCCGGTTACAATGGCGAATGGAGAAATACGAGATGCAATGGAACGGCTGGAAGCTCTGCAAGCAGATTACTCACAACGTGCTACGCTGGCCTTTTGGGTGCTTCTACATAGCGTGAACGCAACGATTCAGCTACAACTGAACATGTTCCAAGAGTCATATAGTCCGGCATTCGAAGCATGGGAGTACCTGATGGAGACTTACCAGGCGAAGGATTCGGTGGCAAAGACATCTCTCCAGAGGCAATTGGACAACCTGAAGATGGGGAGCCAAGAAAGAGTGGAGGAATACATCAACCGAGCAACTGCAATTCGGGACAAGCTGGCAATGGCAGGAAAAATGGTGGATGAAGATTCATTCACCTTAAACCTGATCACCAGACTACCGCCGCATTGGGAAGAGCTAAGGCATTCGGCAATGCTACACGACATCTCGAACAGCTACACACTACAACGAATGATGATTCAGGAACAACGCTACCAAGACCTCATTAGCAAAACCAACCGTGACAAACGTCCTCCCCGCATGGCTGGTCAAGCACGTGGAGATACTTCATCAACAAAGGAGAGGACCGAGACAAAGGGCAACCAAAATGCGGCGAAGTCAACGGGAGGACAGCATGCGACGGAGGGAGACAAATCCAAAAGCAACGAAGAAAGGGGAGGGCGATCAAACCTTGTGTGTTGGTACTGCAAGGAATCTGGCCACCCGTTCTACAAGTGTCCTAAGGCGCCTCCGGGTTGGTCACCACCAGGTTGGGAGCCACAAAACAGAGGGAGGACAAACCAACGCACCTGGAGTAGCCGTTCGTCCTCGCCTCGAAAGAGTGAAAGCCCGAAACGTGACACCCAAGTGTCAAAACAATAAGGGGCAACCGGGGGAGACAATAAACGAACCGTTACATGCATTGCAACGGTTCGATCGTCACAAGCAACATTACCGTCAACCGGAGGGTCAATGTGGTTGCTGGACAGCGGATGCAGCCAACACATGACTTCAGAAAAGGATTGGTTTGAGGGTCTGGAGAAGCTGAACGAACCTGTTTACGTGGAGCTTGCTGGCGGAAGCCACCTGTTGAGCTCGATGACGGGAACAATGCGTGCAACGGCACCCGATGGAACAACCGTGCGCTACACGGACGTGCTCTACGTACCCGGCTTGAAGTCCAACCTGCTGTCCTATTGCCAACTGTACAAGAAGGGAGCTCGAATTCACACACGTGAGGATGGGCACACGGAGATCACAATGACGGATGGAGATGAGCATGTGCTCATTGGAGTTGGAATGGTCATCCATGGGGTGTTAATGGTGCAATATGAGCCTGCACTTGCATCCGTCCATGAATCTGGTCATGATCATCCGAATGACGCATTGAATGCGACTGATCTTGTAGGGCTGAATGTGCAATCTGCTCATGCATCCATCACATATCGCACGACCCACAAGCGCTTGGGTCACCCATCATACTCATCCATGGACGCAACATTTCGCAATGGAGATGTTGAAGGGCTCTCCATATCCCACAAGACAAACCCCCTCAAACCCCCGTGTGACTCATGCCTTCGAGGAAAGATGAGCAAGGCCCCATTTCTCACGGGTGGCAACAAGCGCACAACTCGACCTTTGGAGCTCGTGCATAGCGACATCATGGACTTGGGTGACGCTCACCCCTCACTCCGCTACGTGCTGACGCTCAAAGACGACTCCACCAACTACCTATGGGTGGCGCCGTTGGCTCGCCAATCCGACATGGCAGCTGTTTTCTCGGCTTGGCATCGCGAAATGATGACCAAGTTGCCCACGAAGCCGCTGGCTGCCTTACGCACGGACAACGGGGGGGAGTATACCGCAAATGCTTTCACGGATTACCTAAGCTCTCATGGCATCAGTCACCAAACATCCCTACCACACACACCGCAGCAGAATGGAGTCGCCGAACGGGTCAACCGCACGGTCATGGACCGAGTGCGTGCAATGACCACCGGAGCCAACCTTTCTTCTAAGTTCTGGCCTTGTGCGCTGGAGTACGCATCATGGTTACACAACCGCATCAGCTGCAGCAGCAACCCGTCAACACACTCACCGTACTTCATGATGACGGGAAGGGCAGCAGATGTTTCAATGGCAAGAACTTTTGGGTGCCTCTGCTACTATCTCCCTCCCCAAGGCAGCTTTGGGAAGTTTGAGCAAAGAGGAAGAGTTGGCATGTTCCTTGGACTCTCCAACGCTCGGAAGGCATGGATCGTGCGGGACTTGGCAAGCGATGTGGACACGGACACACGCTCAGCTCGATTCTTTGATGACCTCACGATTCTGGACGCTGAATCGGTGCTCGAGCGACATCGCTACTTGGAGGAAGTATCACCACACATTGATGGTTGGACTTTTGGGGAAAGCTTTGGGTCCAAGTTTGACTCATTTCCCGCAACCCCACCATCACCTACATCGCCCACGGATACCTCTGCCACACGAGGACAGGAAGCTGCCGCTAATCAAGAGGATGCACCCATTGACGACACAACCGATAAAGGAGAAATGGCTACAACAAGTGACTTACCTCCAGCTGACGTCTCTGTTCTTGAAGGTGCTGAAACCAATGGAGTGGAGAATGAGACACGTCATCTCTATGACTTTGCCTACGCACCTGATGGGATCGAGCTGGCAGATCAGGACGCAACTCCACGACGGGTTCACTTCAACCCAGTTGTGACTGTGCTTGGAGGAGGAAGACAAGGGACAGACAGCATGACAGGACTGGACGTGCTTTTCGGAAAAGGACAAGCAGCACAAGCACTCAACACCCTTCCCAACCTGCAACAACACGTGCTAGGATGTGCAGCGACAGACGTCCCCATGGTGAACCTAACGTACAAAGAGCCTAAATCGCTCAAGGAGATGATAACAGACCAGTACGCACCTCTTTGGCAAGCCGCTGTGGATGCAGAATTGGCCAAGTTTGACGAGCTGGACGCATACGAAGTGGTGGAAAGAGCAAACGTACCTAAGGGAACGCCAGTGTTGACGGAAGGAGTCGTTTTAAGGGTGAAGCGAGATGATCATGGACAGCCAACCCGGTTCAAAGCGCGCTGGGTGGTCAAAGGATGCGGACAAACATGGGGAACATACGATGATACATATGCACCGGTCAGCCAAGGCCCTACCTCACGCACGTTCGTGGCTGGTGCATCTGCTACGAAGCGGAAAGTGGTGCAACTTGACATCTCCAATGCATTCTTGTACGCTCCAATCGACCGGGACGTGTATGTGAGGCCACGGGAATCACGGCGCG